TAAATATATAAATTATATATTATACACGAGAGAATGTCTTTATATCAAAGGGATATGTGGTGAAGAAGGGCACTATGTAAACTGAATTGAATATGTCGGATTAAGAAGAGTGGAGGATGTGAAAGACGTCTGTGAAAGAGGCGAGTAGATAACATGAGGAAAATCTGCAGATACTGGTGACTTACCTGCTTGTAATGGAGGAAAATGACTGGAGTGGACGAGGAAAATGATTAGACAATTGGTAAGGGATACTGACAATGTTTACCTGAGGACTATCTGTTTAGACGCACTCAGTCTCTCTCTCACTAAATCAATCTATATTTATCTCTATCCCTTCATCCCTTCACGTTAATATCTCTTGTTTATAACTTTATCTTCCTCTCCCCCATCCTTCAATCCAATACCACTGACACTGATATTCTGTGGAACGAATGTTATTCACAGCTAAAAATAACAATGACGCCATGTTCTTCTACCTAGCGGCAGCTAGCGGTGCTGTGCTTCCTGGGGAGTACTTGTTCAATTAAGATTGATCTTAGCATAGCGCCGCTGGCGGGCTTAACTCATATATTAGTTAAATCGTGAATTAAAGCTGTCAAAACTGAACTTACCACCTAGCGATTTGTGTAATCATAAAACATTAATTTGAGATCTAGAATGAATATATCTTTGAGTGTGTAATCCGTATTAAACATTCGAAGAAGGACTTTTTCAATTATATACTTTGAGAAGAGGCAATGAAACAAGAACCTTATGGCCTGAAACATATCTTAAGAAACTGACTCGGTAGCTTAAGTGTGAGTGAGACGGTGAGTGACTCAGGCCTCTACTGGGGCGACCTTCGTGATCTGCAAGATAAGTATCGACCTTCCTACGTGTAGCTACGTCATGGGTGAACGAGGCAAAAAACTGATTCCGTGATGTCATCTTGATCTATGAGGATCTAAGGTACGGGTATAGTGTGTGTACTCGCCTATTTGTGCTTGCGGGGGTTGAGCTTTGGCTCTTTGGTCCCGCCTCTCAACTGTTAATCAACTGGTGTACAGGTTCCTTAGCCTACCGGGTTCTATCATATGTACATTTGAAACTGTGTATGGAGTCAGCCTTTACCACATCACTGTCTAGTGCATTCCTTCCGTTGGAGGATGGCATGGGAGTGAGTGAGTGTGTGAGTGTGTGTGTGTGTGTGTGTGTGTGTACTCGCCTAGTTATACTCGCTTAGTTGTGCTTGCAGGGGTTGAGCTCTGGCTCTTTGGTCCCGCCTCTCAACTGTCAATCAACAGGTGTACAGGTTCCTGTGTGTGTGTGTGTGTGTGTGTGTGTACTCGCCTACAAATTGCTTTGATATTTTTGGTGCTGTTTGATATTAAACAAGTAAAATAAAATTCAGTTCCTGTATGATGACAAAACCACACATCATAAGGTGAAAGAAATAACTACGTTTCGATCCGTTTTGAACCATTATCATGTCACTCAGTCCTCTTTACTTCAAGAAAAATCTCTAATAAAAAGAGTCTCGGAATTTATTAGGACTTTCAATCTATATCTAGGGTAGGCTAGGGGGGCCTCGTAGCCTGGTGGATAGCGCGCAGGACTCGTAATTCTGTGGGGCGGGTTCGATTCCCGCACGAGGCAGAAACAAATGGGCAAAGTTTCTTTCACCCTGAATGCCTCTGTTACCTAGCAGTAAATAGGTACCTGGGAGTTAGTCAGCTGTCACGGGCTGCTTCCTGGGGGTGGAGGCCTGGTCGAGGACCGGGCCGCGGGGACACTAAAAAGCCCCGAAATCATCTCAAGATAACCTCAAAATATCTATAAGACAGCGTATCTGTCTGTATGACTCCTGTCTGTCTGACAAAGACTGGAAGCTATAGGCTCTTGGTGCTAGTCCCACCCATCTTTGCAGAGGTGAACGGTCTGAGGTAAAGGAGGAACAATGACTGGCTGAGATCGTCAGAGTATCACAAGGAACAGCGTGCCAGGGTCACAGTCTCATCCCCACACCATGACGTTTGGGCACTGTCCGCAGACAACAATTTATAATTTGTATACAATAATATACACCATTATTTACTATTCTTGGGGATAAATTGCATAAATTGGGTCTGCTATTCATACTTTGGCCGTTGTACAATAAAAGTTTGCATTTATATATTTTGAACATAAACAAAATGACTATTAACCTATCTCTATAATGCCCTATTAACAGGTAAAATTACATTTAATAGTTTCTCAAAAATCCACGAGAAAGTGTACATTATGCGATATATATTGTTCAGGTTGTGGGTTTATCCTGGATCCGGGTTAGGAATCTGAAACATTTTCATGTGGCCAAGCTTACTTTACATTCTGCCCAGGAAGGGATGGACCTTGGGGGCTTGCTTGCTACACCCGCGTGTGTAGGTGTATTGTGCGTCTCTCTCTCTATCCCTCCCACGGTATCTGCGTTGTCATTCTTGGCTTCCTCATCATGTCACTTTCACTAGTTTCCCCCTGTAGTGATCATGTCACTTTCATTCGTTTACCTCGTAGTCATGTCACGTCACCCCGATAAACTATTTCAAACCCTATAAAGCTTTCATTTTAACTTTTAATAATAGCAGCATAAAAAAGCTATGTTTTCTAAACAAAAGCTATAGCAAAGTTTCGGTTTTCTTTAGTAAGGGGAAAAATTAGAGCTGGGGGTCTTCTCTAATGTTTAGAGTCAAGTCGTGTATCACCAGCCATTACACGAGCCAGAATGAATAGCTAGAAATCTAAAGGAATTTCCAGGGAGGGACAAAGACCTATAGGCAAGGAATATATTATATAATATATATATATATATATATATATATATATATATATTATATATAATATGCAATAAAACATATTAAGGGTACTCAAAAAATATCAGTAACGTGATATATCAATGAGAACAATTAGGAAAGCAAGATGGGAATCGAACCAACGTCCTGGTGGAAGTTTCAGATGCGCATTTGAACCCATGGACCACGTAATGATGTTATTGTGGTTAATATTATAACGTAATCATGTTTTTTGCGACTTCACTGTGTATTTGAAGGAAGATTATGATGAACTGCATTACCATTACCGGAGAGAATACGAATTACAGACTCCTGGTGGATTCGGGAGGATCTGAAGGAGGCTTCTGACTGCTAGTGGATCCAGGCGGATCCCAAGTGGAATAATTAGAATATTGTGATCCATGGAGGCTTTCCAGGAGTCTGGCTCGGTTTCCCTGTCCTGTTCTAATGATTTTATCCACTAAAGGTGCTTATTAACCGTAAAATTATCAATGTCTATCATAAAACGAAAATCCATCCATCGTATTGTAACCAATTACTGTAACTTAAATATAAGCTTAAGGCTTTAATAACACTATTACATCCAAAAATCAATTTCATGTCCGCACAAAGGATAACAATATGTAAGGTGCTTGAGTTCAGATGCCACAGTTGCAGCTGTCTACCCATCTTAACAGTCAGATGGATCCTACATATTTGACAACGGAACCTGAGTTAAGAATAATGAATCAAGTCAAATTATCTACACGCAATACATAATTTTAATAATCCGAAAGCTGAGTGCATTTCAAAGGCCTGATTCAAAGTTGCTTCACACAACAGGCGGATGGATCTTTGATATGTAAGGGCTATTAAACTTATCGAACATGATGAAGTACTTTGTAAATCCCAAATATTAGTAATTAATAAACGCTCAAATATTTTTAATTCTACCTGAGAGTACCATCTCTTCTAAGTGAAATAATTGCTTCAACATAGTTTGTACTAAGATGCTCTTCAGTCCAGTCATTCTCCGAGCTCATCTGAGCGTCGCCGCGTTCATACACCAGCCATACACCACATACACCAACCATACACCACATGCACCAACAATACACTACATACACCAACCATACATTACATAGACCAGCCATTCACCACATACACCAGCCATACACCAACCATACACCACACTGAAATCATTTACAAAGGTTTACCCTGGTATACCATTAGGAAACCCACTTAACCTCTCCGCCAGTCGTCGACTCACCCTCTCCCATTGAGTAGGGTTTAATAGCTGAGAAAGTTGTCTACCACTCTACGTCATCGCTACTCTTGAAGTAAACCTAAGTAAACCCAATCCGATCCTACCAAAATATGATTTACAAAACTGTTTTATATATAGTACGCACATGATCTGTGACGTCAATGTGACGTCATTGTGACGTCACCATGTCGTCCACTTTAATCTAAACAAAATCTATTTTTTTCTAACCAAACACTTTGAAAAATATATAATTAAATATATCCTACGTAATCTAACTTCATTATATCATTACTAAATTTATTTTCAAATAATCATAAGTTTAACTAATATAACATCGGCCCTAAAATACCCTAATTGTGGTTAAATTATGCTATATTCACCTAGATTAGCTAATATTCCTCTAAGACGTCGAATGATGAAAGTTATCTTAAAATATGAAGCACAAGTATGGTGAAGCTGTATGCAGACGAGGAGTCACAATACCGTGGCTGAAGTATGTTGACCAGACCACACACTAGAAGGTGAAGGGACGACGACGTTTCGGTCCGTCCTGGACCATTCTCAAGTCGATTGTGAAGCTATATGTTAAGTTTCGTTAGAACTAAAGTGCTTATGAGAATAAGAACATGACTTGGGGAATCTGTAGCAGGTCTTTTGGTCTATAAGTGTCAACTCCCGTTATACAACCTGCCAACCACCCCAAGTCATAGACATTGGTCCACCCAATGTCTATGATACCTGTCTCTAACCAGCGCTTAAAACAATGATCTCATGTCTGTTTTCGTACAGCATGGGTAATGATATGGACCAAGGTCCCCTGAGAGTAACCCAGCCCCCATGGAGGGGTTCCAGGACATTAGGAAGGGATTCATGACGTGTGTTGAGGAGTTATTCAAGCCACGAACAGATGAAGATTAGCAATTTGGATTCATGACCTGTTATCAAGTCTCGCCCACTACCAAGCTATCCTAGGGGAGTCGTGTATATAAAGCTCTTGAGAGTGATTCTCGTCACAGTTCACTCTCTGCTGTTCTCTCCTAGAGGCCCCTAGCAGTCTTCACAAGTAAGTTGTGACACAGATACAACAATGGCAAAGTTTCTATCACCCTATGCCCCTGTTACCTAGCAGTAAAATAGGTACCTGGGGGTTAGTCAGCTGTCACGGGCTGCTTCCTGGAGGTGGAGGCTTGTTCGAGGACCGGGCCGCGGGGACACTAAAGCCCCGAAATCATCTCAAGATAACCTCAAGATAACGGGATATACAATGTCCCTAAAGTTTCCACCTGTATTATGGGAAATCAGTAAAGCACTTAGAGGATAAATTGTGTTATGTGCTCTCATGATGTTGGGAATAATACTCAAGGCTCCGTGGCAACTTTACCCCATACAATGTACTTCTGTATGTTGTATTACGGGTTCACCATAGCCCGTGCTACATGGACACTTCGTTCTGAGTAGCTAAATCTGAAACAACAACATGTATGTTGTACTCTCAGAGGTAGGGTGCTTCTGAGTGCTGTGCCCATCTGAGTGAGACCGTGTGTAGTGATCTTGAATGTTGTGCACCTCTGATTGAGACTTCTCTCCCACAGTGACTGGTGCTGGTGTGATGTTTCTGGTCCTGGTGGGAGCCGCTTGTGCCTGGCCGCAATTCAACACTTCCTTGACATTTCCATTCTTTCCTCGAGAGAACGGAGGGTCCTTCCAAACCAGTTCTTCCTCCAACAGCTCCTCCTCGTCCTCGAGGTCCTCCTCGACCTCCAGCTTCGCCTCGTCTGTAGCAGGAACAGAGTTCAAGAATTCATCTGCCAGTGACAAAGATTCTGCATCAAACAGTTCGTCTACCTCCTCCTTTTCCGGGTAAGTTGTCACTCTCCTATACACTATCATCACGAAATTCTTTCCATATAGAATTCACATTTTTGGCGCGAGATAAAATGCAATTCACGAGAACTTAAAGATTAGCAATTGCAACCTGGAAATCATCCCGATTTACCACAGTTCATGTAGTCTCTCCGAGACACAAACCAGGATTTTAAGCAATTCCCCCATGCAATTACAGGGGAATTGCGTAAAAACATGGTTTGTCTCTCTGACAGACTGCATGAACCGTGTTAAATTAGTACGATTTCCCGGTTGCAATTCTTTTAACCATGTCGTAGCTCAGTCGATTAAGGAAGCTACTGGGATCCTCTCGGACGTAGATTCGAACCCTCGTCATGGCCTGTGGATTTGTTCACTTAAAGATTAGCAAACGGTTAGAGTTGCACATCTTGCAGATTATAGATGCATTTGGGTAAAAAAAATATATTTCTTGATATGATTGTCGTGTAATAGTTTGGGTCAAGTGTTAGAGAAGCTGTAAGTGTCACAGTTCTGCGTTGGTCTTGTGTTATTCAAATTAGATTGTTAAGAAGGCAAATTAGATCCTTTATATACTGGTGATCAAAGTTCCAGTTGGAAATGTTCATTGACAAGTCAACCCATAAATCGTGGTGATGCGGTTCTCCGAGTTATAAAATTTGCATATTGTCCTTGATGTGTTAAGTGGGTGCGTGCGTGCGTGTGTGGGTGCGTGCGTGTGTGTGTGTGTGTGTGTGTGTGTGTGTGTGTGTGTGTGTGTGTGTGTGTGTGTGTGTGTGTGTGTGTGTGTGTACTCAGCTAATTGTGCTTGCGAGGGTTGACCTTTGGCTCTTTGGTCCCGCCTCTCGACTGTCAATCAACAGGTGTACAGATTCCTGAGCCTACTGGGTTCTATCATATGCACATTTGAAACTGTGTATGGAGTCAGCCTCCACCACATCACTGCCTAATGCATTCCACCTGTTAACTACTCTAACTGTGTGTGTGTGTGTGTGTGTGTGTGTGTGTGTGTGTGTGTGTGTGTGTGTGTGTGTGTATGCGTATGCGTATGCTCGCGCCTCATTTAATAGTCAATCACAGTATCATCTCTCTGCCCAGGTTCGTGTCTGGAGAGGACGCAGAAGGCGCCTGGAACCATTTTGCTGCTGCTTCAGGAGGTCTCTTCCCCGGGGTCCATGGAGCTGGAGTGGGATCCTCCAACCAGAGCTCCGGTCCAGATGCTCAGGGATCCACTGCAGGATTTGGAGCCGTCAGTAACGATTCTTCTTTAGGGAATCTGAATTCGAGTACAGGGTTCGAGTCTGGCACTCCGGGTTCTGCGACAGGTATTGAGGTAACTACTTCAGGCTTCGGATCCAGCACTCAAGGCCCTGCTTCAGGTATTCATGGATCTACAACAGGCTTCGGATCCAGTACTCAAGGTCCGCCTTTAGGCTTCGGATCTAACACTCAAGGTCCGCCTTTAGGCTTCGGATCTAACACTCAAGGCCCTGCTTCAGGTATTCATGGATCTACAACAGGCTTCGGATCCAGTACTCAAGGTCCTGCTTCAGGCTTCGGATCCAGTACTCAAGGCCCTGCTTCAGGCTTCGGATCCAGCACTCAAGGTCCGACTTCAGGCTTCGGATCCAACACTCAAGGTCCTGCTTCAGGCTTCGGATCCAGTACTCAAGGCCCTGCTTCAGGCTTCGGATCCAGCACTCAAGGTCCGACTTCAGGCTTCGGATCCAACACTCAAGGTCCTGCTTCAGGCTTCGGATCCAGTACTCAAGGCCCTGCTTCAGGCTTCGGATCCAGCACTCAAGGCCCGACTTCAGGCTTTGGATCTAACACTCAAGGTCCGACTTCAGGCTTTGGATCCAGCACTCAAGGTCCGACTTCAGGCTTTGGATCGAGCACTCAAGGTCCGACTTCAGGCTTCGGATCCAGCACTCAAGGTCCTGCTTCAGGTTTTCATGGATTCAGAACAGGCTTCGGATCCAGTACTCAAGGCCCTCCTTCAGGCTTCGGATCAAGCACTCAAGGTCCAGCTTCAGGCTTCGGATCCAGCACTCAAGGTCCAGCTTCAGGCTTCGGATCCAGCACTCAAGGTCCAGCTTCAGGCTTCGGATCCAGCACTCAAGGTCCAGCTTCAGGCTTCGGATCCAGCACTCAAGGCCCTGCTTCAGGCTTCGCATCAAGCACTCAAGGCCCTGCTTCAGGCTTCGCATCAAGCACTCAAGGCCCTGCTTCAGGCTTCGCATCAAGCACTCAAGGCCCTGCTTCAGGCTTCGCATCAAGCACTCAAGGCCCTGCTTCAGGTTTCGCATCAAGCACTCATGGCCCTGCTTCAGGTTTTCATGGATTTAGAACAGGCTTCGGACCAAGCACTCAAGGCCCTGCTTCAGGATTCGGATCCAGCACTCAAGGTCCTACTTCTGAAACTCTTGAGACCACTGGAGAATATAGATCCGACAATCGTGATTTTGGACCAGTGCACCAAGGATCATTTGCTGATGACTCAACCACCCAAGAATCCCTTAGAAACTCTTTTGGATCTGTCCCCCAGGGCACTTCTACTGGCTCTTTTGGATCCGTCCCCCAGGGTAGCTCTACCGCCTCTTTTGGATCCGTCCCCCAGGGTGCCTCTACCGGCTCTTTTAGATCTGTACCGGAGGATGTCTCTGATGGCTCTTTAAGACCCGTCAACCAGGGTGCCCCTGATCACCCTTCCAGACCCGTCACATATGGAACCTCTAACGTCTCTTTTCAACCCGTCCATCAGGGTACCTCTATTCGCTCTTCTAGACCCGTTACCCATAGTGCTTCTGGTGACTCTTTCAGCCCCGTCAACCAGGGTGCCTCTGATGGCTCTATTGGATCCGTCCCTCAGGGCGACTCTAACGTCACATTTAGATTATCATCCCAGGACGAATCTTTAAGCCAAGGGTCTAGTGGCTTTGGACCAACCTCCATCGAGGCCTCAGAAACCCAAGTAACTGATGGTGAATTTGGAGCTAAGCTTCACAATGCTTCAGGGAGTCAAGAACCATCTGTTGAATTCAATCCCGAAGCCCGACACCCATCTGGACCCCAAGGATCTTCAACTGCATTTCGACCAGGAGCCCATAGTCCATCAGGGGGTCGAGGATCTGTTTTCTTTGGATCTTCAGCGCATGGTGCATATGGTAGCCATGGATCTTCTGTAGTTTTTGCATCTTCAACTGAAGGGGATTCATCCAACGAGATATCTGCTACAGATAACTCGTCTACTAGCAATAGTTCGTCTATTGGTAACAAAGATTTCGCAGGTTTTGTTCCAAGAAGACCAGGGTCAACTGACGGATCATTATCGAACACAGACGATTCCTCTGCTGTCATATCGTCAAGCAGCGGGTCACATGCAAGAGTCGTCAGTCAAGATTACATTCTTCCACCAGCCACCCTGGAGTCATCTGGCTCTGGTTTCGGTGTCAAGGGCTCCAGTGTCACTGAAGATATCAGCAGCAATAGCCCAGGTAAGGGTTATTGATACCTTACGTCCTACCTCCCAAAAAAAAAAGATATCTTCCGTAGAGAGTACCACAATTTTAATCGACTTAACTCTATTGCCACCAGTTGAACAATGTATTTTCCAATAAATATTTTAACGTAAACTATCTAAAAATATAGTTAATGAAGCTGAATGCTGCTTTTCACACTCAAGTGTCTTTATAACTAATGTTTTAGGTTTCTAATTTGTGAATATAGTGTGGTTTTTAAATACCATTTTCCGGAAAATTTTGTATATTCTGTTAAACTAAAAATATCGCGGTGTTTGTATACAGTTCACGCAGGCTCTTGTCCGGACTTTCCGAATGTGTGCGTCTTGACTAAGTCTAGAAGAACAGTCAAGAAGTGTTCGAACGACGGCTCTTGCCGCGCCTTCGAGAAGTGCTGCGTCGATGCCTGCCAGTCCGACAGCTGGGTCTGCAAGCCTGCCATAACCTTCCCTGTCGTGTGGGGCTCCCCAGTTATCGTTCAGCCCCTTAACTGGTGATAATCAGTCTCCACTCAGCCCCTTAACTGGTGATACCCAGCCCTCACTTAGCCCCCTAACTGGTGACCTTCAGTCCTCACTCAGCCCCTTAACTGGTGATATCCAGCCCTCACTCAGCCCCTTAACTGGTGATATCCAGCCCTCACTCAGCCCCTTAACTGGTGATATCCAGCCCTCACTCAGCCCCTTAACTGGTGATATCCAGCCCTCACTCAGCCCCTTAACTGGTGATATCCAGCCCTCACTCAGCCCCTTAACTGGTGATATCCAGCCCTCACTCAGCCCCTTAACTGGTGATATCCAGCCCTCACTCAGCCCCTTAACTGGTGATATCCAGCCCTCACTCAGCCCCTTAACTGGTGATATCCAGCCCTCACTCAGCCCCTTAACTGGTGATATCCAGCCCTCACTCAGCCCCTTAACTGGTGATATCCAGCCCTCACTCAGCCCCTTAACTGATGATAACCAGCAATCACTCGGCCCTTAACTGATGATAACCAGCAATCACTCAGCCCTTAACTGGTGACGTCTAATTACATCACCAATTATTAAAATATTTCTACAGCACAAAGACTAAGTCATAAAGTGCTTGTATGTACATAGTTATCTGAATTAATTTCATTCCATTTTGCAAAGTGATGCAAAAAATGTGTTCATATTAAGACAATAATTCAGGTTTAATAAATGCAGGAACTACACTCTTTTAAGCAAGTAATTATCATATTACACTCCCCTATTTTTAAGTATATTTATAACATAGTAACTGAGGCCTCCTGTCAGAGGTCTCTTTTACGACAACGTTGATTGGTTGATGTCGAACCAATTTCATTGTCTATATGTATACAGTGATAATTTAATATATTATTAAATATACAAATACTGCAATTCTTTTTTCTTGAACCTTTTTTAACCACATATATATTGAGTAGAAATAATATTTTATCTAATATTTTTCATATTTCCTACGGTATTAATATTTTTAGCAATGCATTGCTATACATGTTATGGCTAAATCCAACAGCAGGAGTGATTAGTTTTCATGATTTCTAAATATATAGGCAGAGCAGTTATTTGGTGATACAGTTATGACTAACTTTGACATGTATCCTTGTATTGAAATTGCCTCAACCACATTGGCAGTCACATATTCCTCCAATGGCTTGTTAATATTGGTCGTTTGTTCTTATATAAGAAAAAAATATTATATTAAGTTTGGTACTAAAGTAATAATTTACAGATACTAAAGTTATGAAGCATAGTTAAAAGAATTCCCAACTTTCTTAACAGTTAAAAAAAACTTCTTTTCTCAAAATTTCAAGTCATTGGGAATGCTCTGAATCTATACTTCTTATCAATTATTTATTGCTTAAAATATACGAGGTTTCATCACAAGATATTTCGTGTTTTGTCAAGTGCTCAAAACTTGTGAAACGAATTTAACTTCAGCAGCTGACACGTACTCAGCTGACAGTACTGAAATTGGCAAAAACATTCCCTGAACAACAAAAAAGACTTCACAATCTTGCCACCTTTCAAGGAATTGGAGAAGACAGTTTTCTGTCTCGACAATACTATGAGATTTTTGAGACCACATCAAACTATATATTAAAACCTAATCTGAGACCTAACTATATATTAAACCTCAAGGATGGGATAAGAATTTCTTTGTAAATTACGAAAGATAATAAGACTTCTTCGAGGACCTTATCAGGAGAGGGAGGCAGAATTGGGTGGTTATTGTGACAAATGATAAAGCAAATGTTATTTAGTCAAATGTCCTTACGACCGGTCAAGGTGGACAGAATCCTCGCGAGGAGTAAAAAGGGGCAAATGCTCGCTTGATTCTGATTTTCATTATGGAAGTCGACTGCCAAAACAGGTCTGTTGATCTTTCCGACTTCTGAAGTTTTAAGCAAGAGATGTCTGAGAACTTATCATAGGGATAACTGCCTTGTGGTGGCCATCTCTAACGGGACATTAGTAATTATGTTTATGTTCGTTGATAATGATATGTTTATATATAGTGAGAAATACAATGACGAGAATAAACATTAACTACCTGTGGTTGATTCACGGGTTTTTCTATTCACACTTTCCACTAATACAATTAAAATCTCGCAAGGAGACACGATACATATTTCCTCACCCCAGCCAATAGGCTGCTCTAAAACTCTAACTACTTATACTCTACCTTTGATAATGTTGACAAGGGCCAACGAAACGCATCGTTTAGTGTTATAATAAAAATGTAAAATTAACTTTTGTAAAGTTAATTTTTCAACTACATTTTCAAATGAAGAAAATAAAAGAACAATTAAGAAGCCTCCTGCTAGAACAGTAGATCTTACCCTCTGTCACGTTCAATAATATATACGTTTACAAGAAAGAATGCTCTCTAATATATATAATATATAATATATATATATATATATTATACCTAAAAGGGGTACCACCTCTTGTGCTAGTGTAGGGACCCTTAGCCTCGGAGAAGAAAATAAAGAATAATCAGTGAAGACCTTGTGGATCTTCACTGATAAATATGATATTCCTTCTACCACCCTTATTCTTATACCCGGCGACGACGAATTTTCTCTCTCCCCCTTCCACTATTACTTCCCCCTCTACTTTTTTCATCTTTCTTTCCCTATCCCTGCCTCTCTTCAATTCTCCTCCATCTTCCCCCCTCTTCATCTTTCTTAACGACCCTCCTATCCACCTTTCATCCCTTTTTCTCCTTTTATCTCCTACCTCTCTTTCCTTTTCCACCCTCTCTTCCAATATTTCCCCCTCTCCCTCCCTATTCACCCTTCTGCCCCCTCTCACCTTTCCCTTATTCAAACATCTCACCCCCAACCCTCTTCTTCCCCCTCTCTTTCCTTCCTCCCCCGTTCTGTTCTCAGAAAAATTACATAACAAAGTACTGAAACTGATAAATAAGTCTACGGTTAAGACATCCTATTTTCAATATCTACTCCACGAAAATCTAAGAGGTTGGGCCGGGGGTGGGGAGAATTACATGCCAATATTTCTTAAAGTATTTCACTATTGCCAATCCCGCCTGGCCTATGACACTCTCATACCCCACATGCTTCATGTATAAAAGTTTGGCGAGACTAGCCACAAGCCTCTGAACTCTAACCCTGGACAAGTTGACAGGCATTCGCTCCTAGAGATATAGACTGGGTAGATTAGGGATTCGATCAAGGTACTAGAACCCATTAAATTACGTCTTGTCTACCCCTAGGGCATGATTCACAGATAATTTTCTAAAAAAAATGGGTTCTACATGAACAGGATTCTCAGGAGGGAACAGTAGGGAAATAGAACAAATCATCCCACCATACCCAGGGCTCAAACCTGATAGTTCTCGCTAGTGAGTCGAATATTTAAAGACCAAAGCCACTATAAAATAATGCTGCTTGATGTGAATAATACAGTAGAAAGAGAATCATTTTAAATAATACAATACACGAGTACATCCAGCTGCATTTGTTTCACTTTTCAGATAAATGATATCATGCATTATACATAAAACATGACAAGCAATAGAGTATTGGACACATTTGAACCCTCAGAACCTCCATACACGAGTCCCAGGTGCCCTACAGGATACAATGTAACGCTGGAACACCGGAATGACGACACATACACCTCTCAATATTACCGGCTCATGTGCAGTATTCGTGGAAATGTGTGGTAAATCCCCTCCACTGGCCAGACATCCAAGGGGGAAGGTTGGTATATAAAGGTCACGAGAGCGATCACCGCTACACTTCACTCGCTGCTGTTCCTTCGTAAGGACATCTGCAGTCGTCATAAGTAAGTTCAGACGCAGATGCAGCACAGGGCTTTGGAAATTGAAATAAGTTTATTGAAGTAAAATACACACAAAGGGATGAGGTAGCTCAAGCTAGCACAGGGCTTAACCATTCCTTTAGAGGTTCAAACTATCTTTATCTATAGAATAGAATGCCTGTTCGAGGTTGGAGTTCAAACACTTGTGCTTCATCTTAACCTTTGCAAGATTAATGGCGATTTTATCATGTTATACGAGGACTCTGCTCTTCACCTCTCTTTCACGAAATCTGTGAGAAATGTTCATGCCTTTTAATATTCGTTTAATAATGAATTCAGAATTTGATTTTTAAAATATATCTTTAGAGGACCGATTTGGTTTTTGGGTTCATCATTTTCGTTACCATGATGGAGTATAGGAGAATAGGTGCAGGGAGGGAGAGAGAGATGGAGAAAGGGCATGTATGTGAGCAGAGAGGAAGGAGAAGAGTGTATATGGGCAGGGAGCAAGGAGACAGGAACTGTATGGGGAGGACATAGGGAGGATTTGTATTAGGGATATGAGGAGTATGTGGGAGGAAATGAGAGGGAATGTAGGCGAGGGAGGCTGTGTGTTGGGGAATGTTGATGGTGTGATGTTTACACTGAACAAGAGAGAGTGAGCATTGAAGAATATTACAGCTATGAGGAGAGATGGGGAGGGTGTTTGTACAGCAAGACGAAGGAGTGAGTTTGGAGGGTGATCTGGGAACCGGGTCGTCCCGGGCACCACCTGGTACCCATCAAGTATCATAAAAATAACACATCATTTAATCTGTATATATGAACAGTTTGCATTTTTGGCGATCAGCCTAACCCCACTATCATATAGAAAAGACCTTTCCAAGTGTATTTGCATTAATATGAAAATTAACGCAAAATTAATATGGTTTTGTCAACAATATGAATATTATTTTCCTAGACGCGAAGATCGCGAAATGTAGTGATCTTCACAGTGTAAGTTCACAAGACAACGTTAACACAAATGCTCAGTGTTGCTACCCTGTAACAACTGATGGAGAAGACTTACATATTAGTTAATATTCTCACGGTCCCTGACAACCTGTACCTTGGGATGTACTCCTATATGTTACACTTCCGAGCGATACAGTGTACTCCGGTGTTTTAAACCCATCATAGCCGGGCATTGTACATCTGAATTTTGTAATTTACTGGAGATATTTCCCCCACAGTGAGAGGTGCTGGTGTGGTCTTGGTGGTGCTGGTGGGAGCTGTTTGTGCTTGGCCACCAAACAAGTCTTCCTACAAACTGCCTGTCTTTCCTCAAGGGCATGCGGCATCCTTCCATGCCAGCAGCTCCTCCTCCAGCTCCTCCTCGTCCTCGAGTTCCTCCTCCTCTGCTTCCAGTTTCAAAACGTCTGCAGCAGGAACCGAGTTCAAGAATTCCTCTGCCAGTGATGCCTCCTCTTCCGCAGACAATTCTGCTTCCTCCTCCTCATCCGGGTAAGTGCTTGTTCCACTATTAATGGTCCTTATAGAGAATAAGTCCTGCCTTCAATGAACTGAATACCTATGTACTTAAAGATAATATGTTAATTTTGTGCACCGTTCAACTCTTTGATGCACGGGAATCAAACTGCGAAAGTTAATCGGATATAATTTACATATGTAACAGCTTAATAACTGTCTTTTGCAGTTGTCAGAGTATTTTATTCCTATCACACAACGTAGATCGACTAAGATCCAGTTTGCTTGATAAAATTAAGGATGGCAATGTACTTAAACGAATGGAAACCAGATTCATTGCAAATCAATGGAAAATAGATTAATTGCCAATGGTTTTCCGATGTTAAAAGATTTTACATACGCTTTGATGTGAATAGGTTTGGTGTGTGTGTGTGTGTGTGTGTGTGTGTGTGTGTGTGTGTGTGTGTGTGTGTGTGTGTGTGTGATTAATATGACTCACAGCATCACCTCTCTCCTCAGGTTCGTGTCTGGAGACGCTGGGGAAGACATCTTGAACAGTCTTGTTGCTGCTGGAGGCATCTTGTCCGGGATCCACGGAGCTGGGGCAGGATCCTCCAGTCAGAGTTCCGCCTCAGGAGCTCAGGGAATCAATAAAGTATTTGGATCTGGCAGTCACAGTTCAGCTTCAGAGATTGATGGATCCACAGCAGGATTCCAGTCCGGTGGTCATGGTTTTGGAGCCGTAAGTCAAGGATCATTTGGGCATGGATCTGCCGCCCAGGGTACCACAGGCGGATCTTCTGGCTCCTCCAGTTTCGACCAGCATAAAAATCAAGGCTCCGCTTCTGGTTTCGGAGCGATCACACACAATTTCTCAGGAAAACAACAAACTGACGTTGGACTTGGATCTACAATTCATGGGGCCTCTGGAAGCCATGGGTCAACTACTGGATTTCAATCTGGAGCCCGAGGTGTGTCCGGAAACCAAGGTACTTCGGTTGGTTTTGGATCTGGATCCCATGGTGCGTCTGGTACCCTGGGTGAATCTGGAATCTTAGATGTGTCAGCTGGATTTGGAACTGCAACCCACGGTGTAGCGGGTGGCCATGAAGCTTCAACTGGATTTGGATCTGCAGTCTTCGGTACATCTGGAAGCCAAAAGAGCACTGTCGGATTTAGATCTGGAGCCAATGGTGCAACTGGAATCCAAGTGTCTTCTGGTGGATTTGGATCTGGAGAACACGGTGCATCTGGAAGCCAACAAGCTTCTATTGGATTTGGATCCGCAACGGACGGTCATTCTAGCGGCGAAATATCATCATCAGATAAATTATCTGGTAGCAGCGGTTCATCCATTATCAGCGAAGGTTTTACAAGCTTCGCTTCAGGAAACCAAGGCTCGACTGGAGGGTCCTCTTCAGACTTACATGATTCCTCTGCAGAGTCATCGTCCGGTAGCGGGTCCTCTATTGGGGTCATCAGTCAGAGTTATATTCCACCAAGAGCCAGCTACTAATCACCTGGTTCTGGCTATGTTGTCAGGGAATCCACCATCAAAGTCTGAAGCAGTGATAATCCAGGTAAGTGATGATAGTGAATTACGTTTTTCGTAATCATTTTAATTTTATTAATCACATAATCCTATTAATATCTCAATACAGTAGTTTTGTTAGCTCTTAACGAGCCACACATAATATTTTACATGATTGTATTATTATTATCCGTATCTTTAACAGTTAATGAAGCTTTACACTTTTCTTATCAGAATTTCTTCATTGAAATATTTTACTACTCAAACCTTCTACAAGTAAAGCTAGATATATATAATTAAGTGCTTTTTTTCAAAATTTATATATATATATTTAATTATTTTTTTTGTAATAAAGTAGATCGGAGTAAACTAAATACATCATTGTGTCTGTGTTCAGAACACACTCGCTCCTGTTCGGAACTTCCCTCACCAAAGTCAAGAAGGACAGATAAAGAGTTCGAACGACGTCTTAATTTTTCACGCCTCTAAGAAATGCTGCATCGAAGCTTGCCAGTCCAGCAGTTGGGTCACCAAGTCATCTCCTACTCTGCCCATAGACTGGTGACCACCAGCCTTCGACTCCAAGACTGGTGACCAGGACTCCTCCTAGACTCCTAGACCTTCTTTAATCACCAGATGTTATCACTTTCCTACAACTGTTGTGTGTGTATAAATGCTCGTGCATGCATAGCTTATTTGCTGACCAGACCACACACTAGAAATTGAAGGGACGACGACGTTTCGGTCCGCCCTGGACCATTCTCAAGTCGATTGTGTGGACCACACAATCGACTTGAGAATGGTCCAGGACGGACCGAAACGTCGTCGTCCCTTCAATTTCTAGTGTGTGGTCTGGTCAACATACTTCAGCCACGTTATTGTGACTCATCGCCTGCATAGCTTATTTGCTTATACTATTGTGTGTTATTTTACTAATAGATTGTATTTAAAGTGATGCAAAAACACTAAACACATTGAACTAGGACAATAAACTGGCGTGTTATGCAAATGCATAATTTGCATTTCATAAATAAATAATACATTATATATAAAGATATTATGAATTATCATGTTTAGTGAATCAGTTATTGAAACCTATTTAATTACACTTTTTACTGTGATAATAAAATTAAGTAATTGAAAATGCAAAACTTATTTTCCTTCGATGACTAATTCTAATATAAACATTTTAAAAGAATATTTAACTTAATATTTTATAAACATCTGATTTATTTTCAATATTTATCCGATATATTTACAAGGTTATTTACAAATATATTTACAATTAAACACTGTATAGCAAAATTCTACTATATAATTATTAGCTGCTTTGACATATACTGTAACTGATTTAGCTTTAGTCGTTTATGACAATATAGGAGAGATCAATCTTCCAATTATCTATGATATCTTTGACATTGTATTGTAATTAACTCAACCACAATAGATAACAAATATCCTTCCTGTGTCCACATTATATTTTAATTTTAATTTTCTGCAGCGATCTTAAAATTCTAGTGATTTTGGTCATGTAGTATAAATGGAAAAATTAGCAAAGAAAATTTTTACGAAATTTTGAGTTGCTTATCAGTGTATGAAAGTTAGGTCAGAGGTCAAGACAATGTGAATGTTATGCAGCTGAATTTTTTTTTTCAGTTATTTATAGTTTAAAACATTCACAGTTTACTCTGAAAATATTTATGAATTCTGTCAAATGCTCGAAATTTACAAATTAATTTGTTTTTCCTTAGTGGCTTACCATGGGTGAAATGCATAAGAAAACTAAATAGGACGAACTTTAACAAATAAAAACAGAGAAGACGTCACAAGTTTGCCACCAGTGAAGGGCTTAAAGATTTTTTTTACAGCAACTATGGGGAAGTAGAAATCAGAAACTGAAGGCAACCTTGCAGCAAATCACCAAGATGTGATTTGTTTTGTATATTTCGTATGAGTCAATAAATCCTCTAAAACTAACGCCTATTCTCATCTTGGTATATCCTTATATACATAAACATTATTACATGTAGAGAGTTCATTGCTTTCCCTTCCCCACCTTCCCCGAAATAGATCTGGTCACGTATTTACACAACCCACCCAGCCTCCCTTCCCACTCTCAATTCTTACCCTAATTCACTCTCAATCCTCTACCCCCAGCTTTTTTGACTCATCAACTCCAACCCCAGCCCACAGCCTCTTGTTCTCTACCTTCAACTATTTCCACCACCCATCTCTCTTGCCACAATTTGCAATTCATGTAATCAAACAAGACCTATCCCCTTTTCGCTATGGAGTCATTAGTCAATTCCTTACCATTTATCATGCCTTACCTGTATTGTTAAAGAACACATTACTCTCATCTAATCAGAACTCTTACCCAAACACCCTAAGTGAGCTAATAGATCAAAAGCTCCCTGAAATACATAGTTGTTAACTAACAAACTCACACAATATATAAACTCCTGTATCAGAATTCAGGAATTAATTGTATGCAAATAAAAAATGTAATGCGAATGCCTCTATGAAGAAAATAAATTAATGTTCCACACTTTGACAACAATTCCAGAAAATTACTAAAACTTATTGTATTCTTTAGAACCAGCTTTTACGTTCCCAATTACATTGAACGTCTAGTCACATAGCTGCATTATTTGTTCAATAAATCCCTGAACTATATGTTTAACACATCTCTAACCCTGTCCATGGAGGACAGAAGAAAATGTATACATGCTGGTTAGCATTGTAAATGTGTGGCCACGTCAGTGGTAGAAAAAAAAAAAGCTGCTATTACCTAAACTACTGGATTTGTAAAGAAGAAATAACAAATTTACAACATTTTCAGGCCAATAATATATAAGTCATACATATATGTGTATATATATTATATATATGTACACCTTACCCCCACGTTTTGGGTAGGGTCTCCATGTAGCTAACTTTCTTTAGGTAATTATTAGCTTGAAAACTTTATGAATTATTGACGTTTTGGACCTTTCCAGATTATTATTACCTTGGTAATGGTCCAAGAGGGACAGAAACGTCACTTCCATTATTTTCAGAGGTGTGTGTTGGGTGTCTAAGTTTCAGCCCCCGTTAGTGTTACTCGTGGTCTGTGTCAGATGTGTCTTATGCTATTTTCCTCCACGTTTGGGTAACACGTTAACGTTATTCTGATCCTTTCAGCTACCACAGGTGCAGCCCGCCAAACACACACCAAAACTACGACGTTGGTACAACGTTCGAGCAAGTTTTAACACCTCCTAACCAGTTATAACAACCAATATAGCAAGTTGTAACAACGTTCTAATACGTCATAAACACGTTAAGCCAAGATGTAACAACTTTATTACAAGTTGTAACAAGCGGAAAATAGAGACAGTTTCGGTTTGTGTTTCCAGGGAGGTCTTCACAAACTTACGTTGAGAACACAACATCTATATGATTGTCTTGACTCTTACTAAACGTTTCCTCGAAATTTTTAGCAAGATACATACACGTAGCGATAGGAATAAATATTTTTTTATAATTAACTATCGAAAAGAGAAGAAATAGAGAGGATATGATCCTAACATACAAGATACTGAGCTGAATAGACAAGAATCACAAGTGCATACGAGTCAAAGAAGCGTAAGGTTTCCTCCTAACCAATCAAAGGACCCAAAACTTGCTGTTATGGGTCCCATTTCATTTAATTTTATTGATTAATTATGTAAACGAAACTTGCAAATAATCTCGAGTGGCAAGTTATTACATATGTTTCAAATTCACGAAAAATAGCAAATAACATTCAATTTCGTGATAATATTCCATACTAGTGATCAGAGACTAGCAAAATATTATCTTTAAAAGCTCACTCTTTAATTGATTAATCTATAAGGTTTATGGAATACTCATAATATATATTTTGAACAAGCTTTACTTGTTCAGAATATTTTAGAAATAACTTCCTACTCCAAAATCTATTACGTGTGGACTTATTATTTTTTTCATGAATGCACAAAAATGTTCACTTTCTTTTTAATTACTTCTGAATACTCTTTCACTATTTTTAAGGATATTAACTAATGGGAAAACCAATAGAGTGATAAATACATATTTTTGTCTTGACAGGAGACCGGAAAACTAATTTACATTTAACGATCTAGAGAGTGGAAATTAGGTAGATCAATGTTAAAGAATTTATCATTCCAAATAATTTATTAGTTCCCCAGTTATCATTATAGAAATATCGCTAACAGCATTATTTGTTTGGCGAATATTTATGTGAAAAAACATAGACAATTAATTGCTGTCCAATTCCAGCAGTCTGATATTGACAGTTGGGTGACGTTTGTCCATTAAATTGCTGAAATAATGATTGTTTAATCTGCCAAAAGTTTGAAGCATTTCGTCAACATGACCAATAAATAATTTAGTTATGTTTTAATGTATAAACACGCAGAAGCCAGCTTCCCCACACTTAACTCGATAAACAGTATGACTACAATAGGAGTAGTATATTATTGTATGTATTCATTCAACAAATATATTTTCTGCACACTCCTTATTTGTAAATTTTTATGTTTTATTTGTATTCTGTATCACTTAGTATACTAATAAATAGATTCACATACTTTATTTAGAACAATAACTGTTTAGTGATTTTGATTACCAAATTCTGAGCATAATTTTTTTGAATCAACTATACTAACAATCTTTTGAAATTTCATCATTTGGAGTTGACAGTGAAACAGTGCCAGTTTGTAATGATGAGTTATTATGGTGAAGACGTAATAGTAGTTGACCTTTGGCTAGTTAATAGCCAAACTATTTACGTAAAATAATTATATGGGTGACAGTGTAACGAGTTTAAAAAACAATTACTCTGCTGTCACGCAATCACTTAGTTCTTTTCATTTAGAATTGAACGTCCTTAGATAAACATTGTGAAACGAATGAGCTGTGTTTAACGTAAAATTATTGTCTCCCCCTTTTTATAATGCATTTGGAATTAGTTAAACCTTTGCATTGTAACGCATCTAGGCTTAATTTTAAGAATCAATAATATTAATAAATTTATTAATCTCTTCATATCTTTAATTACACCAAATAATAACTTTAAAACTTTACAATATATATACATTTAATTTACATTAAAATCATACTATATTATTAATATATTATTACCTTATATAATATTAAGTTGGAGAAATGACGATAGATGGTAATTTGCCAGAAGTAGAAATAGACTCGTTTGGGTACTTTTGGGAGAGTTATAAAAGGCCCATAATACGAGTTATGAGAGTGGAGGAACTAGTCCATGAGCCACCTCATTGCATCAGTCTTCAAACTCATGGTTGTCAGAACATTCTGTAGCATAGATCATTTATTATGATGAGAGGAACACTATCTTTTGTTAACTAGGACTTGACATATTGCGTTTAGTTAATTATCCTTATTGCTAGAATTGCTATATTTTCCTTACTAAATAAGAACAATATTCAGTTAATTATTTTACTTTGCCAATCAATGCTAATTTGCCAGGGTTACTTTGTCAAATAAAGACATTCAATGTATTGTGTATTGGCTAATTTTAAATTCTAATTTTAGAATTAGAATTTAATCTAAAGAATCTAATTTTAAATTCTAATTTTAGAATTAGAATTTAATCTAAAGAATCTAATTTTAAATTCTAATTTTAGAATTAGAATTTAATCTAAAGAATCTAATTTTAAATTCTAATTTTAGAATTAGAATTTAATCTAAAGAATCTAATTTTAAATTCTTATATTCTGAAAATATGTATTTTTTTTTATTAATAAAGTAATGTTATTCTTAATTGTCTCTACATCTCTAATCTTCTCTCAGCATCGGACATTTTTTACTGGGTATATTTCCTTAAAATTTAACTAACGTAACAACTCTGATTTTTTAAATAAAAGATGATTACCTAATCCGTTAAATATATCAAGCATACTAATTATGAAACGAGCAAAAAAAATGTCACACTGTACTAAAGAAACGTGATATACTATGACTCATACTTGCATGTTTTGCTTAGCTAAAGTTAGTATATTTTTAGTTTTTCTGCATTTTTTATAAAAAAAAATATGCTAAATTTTCGACCTCCAAGTAAAGCCAATCACATTGACCAATAACTTTCGTATGAACATTATCCTTAAAACGCGTGAAACAACACAATATTGTACACTTGAAACTTCACAGCCTTCAGGAGCGCCCCAGAAACCCCCAAGAGCGCACAGAAACCTCCAAGAACCTCCAGGAACCCCCAGGAACCTCCAGGAGTTCCCAGGAACCTCCAGGAACCCCCAGGAGCCTTCAGCAACCCCCAGGAGCCCCCAGCAACCTCCAGGAGCCCCCAGCAACCTCCATTAGCCCCCAGAAGTTCCCAGGAACATCCAGGAACCCCCAGCAGCGCCCAGGAACCCGCAGCAACCCCCCAGGAGCGCCCAGGAACCCCCAGGACCTCCCAGGAACCTCCAGGAACACCCAGCAGCGCCCAGGAACCAGTAGCAACCTCCCACGATCTCCCAGGAACGTCCAGGAACCCCCAGGAACCAGCAGCAACCCCCCCCCCCCAGGAGCTCCCAGGAGCGTCCAGGAACCAGTAGCAACCCCCCCCCCCCCCCCCCCCCCCACGAGCTACCAGGAACGTCCAGGAACCCCCAGGAATTCGACAGGAAACAATAGGACGCTGGAACGCCGGTGTGACGTCAGGTGTCAGACTCAAGTACAGTATACGGGGAAGTGTGTTAAGCCCCACCCACCGCCCAGACACCCTGGAGAGGCCCGCTATATAAAGGTCACCAGAGCCATGACTGCCACAGTTCACTCGCTGAGGTTGCCTCGTAAGGACGTCTGCAGTCGTCATAAGTAAGTTCTGACAGACGTAGCATAGATAAACTATTCCTATAAATCTCAAACTTCATTCATATAAAAACATTCAGTGAATAGTTTTGGAGAGTTACAATATCCTACCTTGAACTTTGGCATTAGCAAAACGACATAATTTTATTTATAACTGTGCGAGGGATGAGTTAATAACTTGCCAAGTGTGTTGGATTTGTGTTAAGATTAAATAAGTTTAATTATTTTGCGACAGTGTAAGATCATGATATGTGATGTCTTCAGTGTTGGTTTTCATAGTAATGTCAACACAAATGCTCAGTGTATCCGCCCTGTAATATGACAACTTATGGAGGAAACTTGTGTATTAGAATATATTTTCTCACTGTCCTTACAAATCCTATCCTACAGTGTGCTCCTGTATGTTGGACATACCTATGTGTTACAGTGTACTTATAAAATTTTGTATACATCAAAGCGAGTCAGTGTTCGCATGAGTTTTGTACATCTCTGAGTGAGACATTTCTCTTGCAGTGAAAGGTGTTGGCGTGGTTTTGGTGGTGCTGGTGGGAGCTGTTTGTGCTTGGCCGCCTTACAAGTCTTCCTTCAAACTGCCTGTCTTTCCTCAAGGGCATGCGGCATCCTTCCATGCCAGCAGCGCCTCCTCCTCGAGCTCCTCCTCGTCCTCGAGTTCCTCCTCGTCTGCCTCCAGCTTCGCCTCGTCTAAGGCAGGAACTTTCTTCAAGAACTCATCTGCCAGTGATGCTGCAGCTTCCGCAGACAGTTCTTCCTCCTCTTCCTCCTCAAAGTAAGTTCTCGTTCTCCTCTACAATGTCCTCAAGCAATAAATTTACAGGATGAAGTCTACTTAAAACATAATTCCTTGTAGCTAACAGTTTTCAGATTCTGAGAGAGTTGCTCACTCCGCAGCTCTTCAGTTCACGGGGATCAATATTCGCAAGTTAATGTGATGCATTATTTAACTGGTTTCTATATCTGTCAACTGTATTTTCCACTTTTTTCCGTTCCCATCGCGCTTCTAATAAGTCCAGTTTACTCGTTTAAATGACCAAAGTTCATTTTGATTAATTCATTTTGTTCCAATGCTTAAACTGATTGGAAAAAGATTAATTTTTCAACGGTTTTCTGAAGTTAAAACCTTGCATGTGGCCTTCTTGAGTATTAGTTTACTGAATGTGTGTCAGTGTGTACTGTATTTACTATTTGTTTCTGCAAAATCGAGTTATTAGCTCTTGGACCACGCCTTTCTTGCCAATCTATTTTTCCTCTATTATATCTGCTATATATATTTCTCTCTAACACACACATCCCCAGGAAGCAGCCCGTAGCAGCTGTTTAGCTCTCAAGGACTTATTTGCTGCTAGGTGAACAGACGCATCAGAGTGAAAAAAAACTTCGCCTATTTGTTTCCGCCTAAGTTGGGAATCGAACCCGGCCATTAGGACAATGACCTCCTAGCGCTATTCATTCAGCCGCGAGGCCCCTATGTGTGTACTCGCCTAATGTACTGTGTGTGTGTGTGTGTGTGTGTGTGTGTGTGTGTGTGTGTGTGTGTGTGTGTGTGTGTGTGTGTGTGTGAAGCATTATTGTGAATCACAGTATCGTCTCTCTGCTCAGGTTCGTGTTCGGAGACGCTGGAGGACACATTTTGAACAGTCTTGCTGCTGGTGGAGGCATTCATCTCGGGATCCACGGAGCTGGGGCGGGATCCTCAAGCCAGAGTTCCTCCTCAGGAGCTCAGGGAATCGGCGCAGAATTTGGATCCACCAGTCACGGTTCTGCTTCGGGGATTCACAGAGACACTACAGGCTCCGGATCAGGAAGTCATGGCTTTGGAGTTGCAAGCCAAGAATCAGTTGGACATGGATCCGGCAACCTGGGTACCTCAGGTTCTTTTGGATCCGTCACCCAGGATACCGCAGCAGGCTCTTTCGGATCCGGTACCCAGGGTGTCTCTGGTGCGGCATTTGGGTCATCCATCCAAGACGAGAATAAAATCCAAGATTCGGCTGCTGGTTTCCAAACAACCACTCAAGATTCTTCTGGAAATCGAGAAACTGACGTAGAGTTTGGATCAACAATTCATGGTGCCTCTGGAATCCAAGATACTTCAGTTGCGTTTGGATCTGCAGCAAACGATGCTTCAGGAAGCAAAAGAACTGAAACCGGTTTTGGATCCCAAACACTTGATACGAGTGTAAGCCAAGGTGGTTCTTCTGGCTTTGAGACTGTAGCGTCCGGTGCATTTGGAAGCCAAGGATCTTCCACTGGTTTTGAACCTGCAACTTATGACGCCTCTGGAAACCAAGGATCTTCAACTGCCTTTCAATCTGGAGTCCACAGTGCATCTGGTAGCCAAGAGGTTTCTTCAGGAATTGGATCTGGAGCCCATGGTACATTTGAAGGCCAGGAGACATCTGTTGGATTAGGATCTGGAACTCAAGGTGCATCTGGGACACGAGACGTTTCTTCTGGAATTGGATCTGGAACCCACGGTGCATCTGGAACGCAAGAGCCTTCTGTTGCACTTGGATCTGGAAGTCACGGTACATCTGGAACCCAAGACGTCTCTTCTGGAATTGGATCTGGAGCCCACGGTACATTTGAAAGCCAAGAGAAATCTGGTGGATTTGGATCTGGAACTCTCGATGCATTTGCAACCCAGGAAGCTGCTTCTGGAATTGGATCTGCAGCCCACGGAACATTTGGAAGCCAAGAGACTTCTGTTGGATTAGGATCTGGAACTCACGGTGCATCTGGAATCCAGGAAACTGCTTCTGGAATTGGATCTGGATCCCACGGAACATTTGAAAGCCAAGTGAGTACTGTTGGATTTGGATCTGAAGCCCACGGTGCATCTGGAAAGGAAGAGGCTTCTGTAGGATATGGATCTGGAACTCACGGTGCATCTGGAACCCATGATGCCTCTTCTGGAATTGAATCTGGAGCCCACGGTGCATCTGGAACGCAAGAGACTTCTGTCGCATTTGGATCTGGAGCCCACGGTGCATCTCTAAACCAAGACGCTTCTTCAGGAGTTGAGTCTGGAATACAAGGTGCATCCGCAGGGCAAGAGTCTTCTGTTGGGTTTCCATCTGGAACCCAAGAAGTTTCTTCTGGAATTGAATCTGGAGCCCACGGAACTTTTGAAAGCCAAGAGACATCTGGTGGATTTGGATCTGAAACTCACGGTGCATCTGGGACCCAGGATACTGCTTCTGGAATTGGATCTGCAGCCCACGGTACATTTGAAAGCGAAGTGAGTTCTGTTGGATTTGGATCTGGAACCCAAGAAGTTTCTTCTGGAATTGGATCTGGAGCTCACGGTACGTTTGAAAGCCAAAAGAAATCTGGTGGATTTGGATCTGGAACTCTCGATGCATTTGCAACCCAAGATGTCTCTTCTGGAATTGAATCTGGAGCCCACGGAACATTTGAAAGCCAAGAGACTTCTGTTGGATTAGGATCTGGAACTCACATTGCATCTGGAATCCAGGAAACTGCTTCTGGAATTGGATCTGGATCCCACGGAACATTCGAGAGCCAAGAGAGTTCTGTTGGAATTGGATCTGGAATTCACGGTGCATCTGCAACCCAAGACGTCTCTTCTGGAATTGAATCTGGAGCCCACGGAGCATCTGGAAAGCAAGAGACTTCTGTTGTATTTGGATCTGGAGCCCACGGTGCATCTCTAAGCCAAGACGCTTCTTCAGGAGTTGAGTCTGGAATACAAGGTGCATCCGCAGGGCAAGAGTCTTCTGCTGGATTTGCATCTGGAACCCAAGAAGTTTCTTCTGGAATTGAATCTGGAGCCCACGGAACTTTTGAAATCCAACAGACAGCTGGTGGATTGGGATCTGAAACTCACGGTGCATCTGGGACCCAGGAAGCTGCTTCTGGAATTGGATCTGCAGCCCACGGTACATTTGAAGGCCAACAGACTTCTGTTGGTTTAGGATCTGGAACTCATGGTGCATCTGGAATCCAGGAAACTGCTTTTGTAATTGGATCTGGAGCTCACGGTACGTTTGAAAGCCAAGAGAAATCTGGTGGATTTGGATCTGGAACTCTCGATGCATTTGGAACCCAAGATACCACTTCTGGAATTGAATCTGGATCCCACGGAACATTTGAAAGCCAAGTGAGTTCTATTGGATTTGGATCTGGAATTCACGGTGCATCTGGGACCCAGGAAGCATCTTCTGGAATTGGATCTGGAGCCCACGGTGTATCTGGAAACCAAGAGGCTTCTATTGGATTTGTATCTGCAGGTCACGGTGCATCTGGAAGCCAAGAAGGTTCTGATGGAATTGGATCGGTGGTCCATGGGGCCTCTAGTATCCAAGAGTCTTCTACTGGATATGGATCTGAAGCCCACGGTTCATCAGGAAGCCAAGGGTCTTCTTTTGGATTTGAATCTAAACCCCACGGTGCATCAGGAATTCAAGACGCCTCTGCTGGATTTGGATCTGCAGCCAACGGTGCTTCCGAAAGCCAAAAGTTTTCTCTTGGATTTGGATCTTCAACCAGCGGTGCATCTGGACCCCAAGTGGTTTCTGTGGCATTTGGATCTGCAACACACGGCGATTCTAGCGGTGAAATATCTACAACAGACAACTCATCTGGTAGCCACGGTTCGTCCTTTATTCGCGAAGACTTTTCAAGCTTTGCTTCAGGAAGCCAAGGCTCAGCTGGAGGATTATCAACGGGAATACAAGATTCTTCTGCAGAGTCATCGTCCGGTAGCGGGTCTTCCATAGGCATCATCAGTCAAGGTTACATTCCTCCATCAGTCAGCCTCAAGCCATCTGCTTCTAGCTTTGGTGTCAGGGAGTTCATCTTCAAAGTCAGCAGCAGCAACAATCCAGGTAAGGGATGCTGAGAGTTTGCTTCTGTCTTCAGCATCAATCCCATTAGATTATTTCAACGAAACCACTTATGTTCAACACATTATTTTATTGCTGCTAAATTAATTAATAAATAGGATTTTCTTCGTTAGCATTAACCCATTAATCTTAAATATGTAGTTAGTGAAACTACGAATTTATTAGCAATCAGAATTTCTTTAAGAAGATATTTTACTTCGCAAGTTTTTTCTGAACTAAAAATCAGAGCCATATGCAGGCGATGAGTCACAATAACGTGGCTGAAGTATGTTGACCAGTCCACACACTAGAAGGTGAAGGGACGACGACGTTTCGGTCCGTCCTGGACCATTCTCAAGTCGATTGTGATTGATCCAGGACGGACCGAAACGTTGTCGTCCTTTCACCTTCTAGTGTGTGGTCTGGTCAACAAAATCAGAGCCATTTTAATATTGTGAAATTTGCTTCTAGGTGTATATAGTTTTTAATTATATTAATAAAATGCTATAGGTAAGGGAATTAACAATGTTTTGTGTCTATGTGCAGTTCATGCAGGCTCTTGTCCGGACCTACCAAGCGAGTGTGTGCAGACCAAGACGAAGAGGACTTTTGAGAAATGCACAAACGATGGTTCTTGTGGTGCCTCTGAGAAATGCTGCTTCGATATCTGCCAGTCCCCCTACTGGGTCTGCAAGCCTGCGGTTACTCAGCCCATTGCTTGGTGATCATCCACTCTCACCCAGCCCCATGACTGGTGATCATCAGCCCTCATCCAACTCATCACATCGTTCCATCACTAGTTATTAAGGCTTTCTTACAGGTGTATACTTGAATGCTAACTCATACATCTCGTATGTGTTGACATGTTTCAGTATTATTATATAGTTATAATTTATACTCATAACAATGTATAATCTGTGATTATTTTGAACCGAGACAATGAGTTAGCGAGTTATTAAATGCAGGAGTTGCATGCCTTAATTATTTAAACATTGTAGCTGAAGTGACACGCAGAATGGTTCAGTTATTTAAGCGCAATTTATACCCTTACATGCTGAGATAATACATTATAAAATAAATGAAATGGACAATATTATTTTTCCTTAAATCACTTTAGAAAAATTCTAACAAAAAGCGATGAACAACGATATATTTGTCTTAACATTTTTTTTCTTTCTAATATTTCTAAATGTATTATACATTTACATCCAAGTATAATTAAAAATTACCCGCTTTGATTTGAATAAAAAAAATGGTATATGAGGATACAGTAGAGAGCAATATTCAGAATATGTATTAAGTCCTTGAAATGTTTTTCCCGTTAAATTAATTAACATTTAATTAATTTAATTAATTATCTAATTAGTTGTGAACTATTCGTACATTAAGATACATAAATAACCACAGTAATGTAAGTTTTTCAGTTATATCGTACTAAGACTAGGGAAAGGATAGGTCCATTAAAAACTGAGACAGGTCAAATAACAGATAGTGATGAAGAGATGAGTAGTATTTTTAATAAATATTTTGTATCTGTATTTACTCAAGAGGAACTTAACAATATGCCTTCAGCCGAACAAGTCTATGTGGGTGGGGACGAGGACAGGTTGACGAGTTTAGCAGTTACCAGGGAGGATGTTCTTAAACAAATAGTAAAACTCAAACCAAACAAATCCCCAGGGCCGGATGAAGTGTTTGCTAGGGTGCTTAAAGAATGCAAAGAGGAGCTTTGTGACCCACTGTCAACCATATTTAATAAATCAATAGAGTCAGGCAGAGTGCCAGAGTTTTGGAAAGTTGCTAATGTGATACCAGTTTTTAAGAAAGGAGATAGATCACTTGCGTCTAACTATCGACCAATTAGCCTAACGTCTATTGTGGGAAAGTTACTCGAATCTATAATAGCAAATAAAATTCGTCTTCATCTTGAAAAACATAAATTAATAATTGAGTCGCAACATGGTTTTATAAATGGCCGTTCATGTTTAACAAATTTGTTATCTTTTTATTCTAGCATTGTTGAGGCAGTTGATAGTGGTAAGGATTGCGATGTTGTATACCTTGACTTTAGCAAAGCTTTTGATACAGTGCCACATGAAAGACTGATTAAAAAAATAGAGTCTCATGGTATTGGGGGTGCTATATTAAGCTGGATTAGGGCATGGCTATACCAAAGGAAACAGAGAGTTAGTATAAATGGAATCAAGTCAGAGTGGGAAAATGTTGTAAGTGGAGTGCCTCAAGGCTCTGTCCTGGGACCTCTGTTGTTTATAATATATATAAATGATTTAGATTCAGGTTGAGTAGCAACATTTGCAAATTTGCCGATGATACGAAAATCGGTAGGGAAATTAATTCGGAGGAGGACTCACTATCACTTCAAGTTGATCTAGATAGGGTTTTGAAATGGTCAAAGGATTGGCAGATGCAGTTTAATGCTGATAAATGTAAAGTTCTGAGGTTAGGTAATGACGATAGAGTTACAAGATACGAGCTAGATGGTGTTGTGATTGCGAAGTCGGATTGCGAAAGGGATCTGGGAGTTATGATTAGTAAGAATTTAAAACAAAAGGATCAATGCATAAATGTTCGTAATAAGGCAAATCGGACACTTGGATTTATTAATCGCAGCGTTAGTAACAAGACACCTGGTGTGGTTCTCAAGCTATATCTTGCTCTAGTTAGGCCCCATTTAGATTATGCAGTTCAGTTTTGGTCGCCATATTATAGAATGGATATAAATTCACTTGAACGTGTCCAGCGTAGGATGACTAAGTTAATTCCCCAAATTAGAAATCTTTCATATGAAGAAAGATTAACAAAGCTTAAGTTGCATTCACTGGAAAGGCGAAGAGTTAGGGGTGACATGATAGAGGTTTACAAGTGGATGAATGGACATAACCGGGGGGATATTAATAGGGTATTAAAAGTATCAACACAGGACAGAACACGAAACAATGGATATAAATTGGATAAGTTTAGATTTAGGAAAGACTTGGGTAAATACTGGTTCAGTAACAGGGTTGTTGATTTGTGGAACCAATTGCCGCGTAACATTGTGGAGGTGGGGTCCCTCGATTGTTTCAAGCACGGGTTGGACAAGTATATGAGTGGGATTGGGTGGTTATAGAATAGGAGCTGCCTCGTATGGGCCAATAGGCCTTCTGCAGTTACCTTTGTTCTTATGTTCTTATGTTCTTAAGACTATAAGTAGTATAGACCACTTTAAGAATTATATTTCAAGACAATGAAGAAGACTTCGGTAATATCAGGAGTTTATCCTCACTTTGCAAAACTTTTAAAACTTAAAAATGTAGTCACTATGAATTATCTCTTTTTTCAGTTTTTATTTTCAGGGATTTTCCTGCGCGGGCCCTAAGCCTCTGGCTGGCCCACTCCCTAAGCCTCTGGCTGGCCCACTGGGCGGGCCCTAAGCCTCTGGCTGGACCACTGGGCGGGCCCTAAGCCTCTGGCTGGGCCACTGTGCGGGCCCTAAGCCTCTGGCTGGCCCACTGCGCGGGCCCTAAGCCTCTGGCTGGCCCACTGGGCGGGCCCTAAGTCTCTGGCTGGCCCACTGGGCGGGCCCTAAGCCTCTGGCTGGCCCACTGGGCGGGCCCTAAGCCTCTGGCTGGGCCACTGGGCGGGCCCTAAGCCTCTGGCTGGGCCACTGTGCGGGCCCTAAGCCTCTGGCTGGCCCACTGCGCGGGCCCTAAGCCTCTGGCTGGCCCACTGGGCGGGCCCTAAGCCTCTGGCTGGGCCACTGGGCGGGCCCTAAGCCTCTGGCTGGCCCACTGGGCGGGCCCTAAGCCTCTGGCTGGGCCACTGGGCGGGCCCTAAGCCTCTGGCAGACCGTCGTTGTCACCAATATTATTAATCACACCGCACGCGTGCCTCTCTCGGGAGGCGAGAGCAAAAATATTTATATAAAATCCATTTATTATCCGATCAACTTGGGAATAGTTTACAAATGTTTGCCATGAAATTTACGTTTTCTCTAAAAGCCGAACAGCTTATTAAAGAGAACGGCGTGGCAGTGAATCATCGTGGTAAAACAATTGTATTATTGACACGACGAGTATAATCGACGTAGTTTTTATATATGTTGCCGGTCGAACGCATCCTTATGTGACCTTTAATACTTATGTTCTTATAGAACATTCTATTGCGAGCACATTGGTACAAAAATGAAATACATACATCGACAAATAATGTCAGGACAGTGAATTGAATATACACTTTTCAAAGCGAATTTCGCCGATATGCCGCCGCGGGTAACACTTCGGCCACTTCCCACACTGTTTTGGGTGGGCTACGACATTGAATCTATATTTATATGCATATGTCCGTGTAGAGAATTTTATTGCGATTCCAATGATACCACAGTTAGCGATGTAGGACAACTGTAGGCTTCGTAACCATTAAGAGAGTGGAAACATTTTGTTGCTGTTTGGCGCTCTCGGCGAGTGATCTGAATAGTTTTTTATTTGGTGTTGATAGTCCTTATGCTTTGGCGGCATTTTATAGGTATGTTCTTATAGACAATTTTATTGCGAACACAGTGATACCAAATTTAAATACGTGCGTCTTCAATTATTGTCAGGACAGTCAAAAGAGTGTACACGACAGCGCATAGGGTATGATTTTTTTTTGAACGCCGAGAGCGCGAAAGTGATAATTAAAATCTTATTTTTAAATCAAAATGATTTATATGGAGCGAGCGAATAGTTGGTGTATTCAAATCGCCACGTTTCGCGAGCGATTTGGCCTGGGTTCGTATCCTGGCCGGGGAGGATTGACTAGGCACCAATCCTTAACTGTACGCTTAACATCACCAAGCAGTGAGTGGGTACTTGGTTGTTAAACGATTTGGCGGGTCGAATTCCAGGAAAAATTAAGATTAAGGCCCTGCCCAAGACAGCTATGCGTGCTTGTGGCTTTGCAAAAATGTAAGAACTCTTGTATATATATATAAATAAAAAGATGTTGACCACACCACACACTAGAAAGTGAAGGGACGACGACGTTTCGGTCCGTCCTGGACCATTCTCAAGTCGATTGCACCACAATCGACTTGAGAATAGTCCAGGACGGACCGAAACGTCGCTGTCCCTTCACTTTTTAGTATGTGGTCTGGTCAACATACTTCAGCAACGTTATTGTGATTCATCGTCTAAATAAATATGAAATTTATCTGTTCCAAAGCAAAATTTTAGAGTCGGTCTCTAAAATTTTTATGTAGCCGTTCTCTATGACGTCTGGTTGAACATGAAGAGGAGTAACTAATGTATAAGCACCGCGAGCGGCCCGGGGCTCATATAAAGAGGAATTTAAATATTTATATGACGTATTTATCTCTACGACTGTGTGTAATACGATGACTGGTAATTGTAACACACGGTAAATACGATAGGTAATATTTGTGTTAGCGTATGAGCTTATTTTTGGCGTACTTAACTAAAAAATTAAACGGACTTCAACCTCTGGTGGAACACAATTAGTTGTACTTTACACGGCAATGTGGGCAGAAAACTAATTAGATAATTAACAGAAAAAATCAGCAAGAGTTACCAAAGTTGAGTAATTGATTACGCAACGTATCATTTTATATTTGGTCGATTTTTATGTCACAAAAGAAAAGTAGCTGTCAGAATCCTTATACTTTTCCCTGAGCCTAGTGGTCCTAGGCCGGGCTCAGGGAGTAGAAAAACTCCCGAAACTTTATTTCAGGTAAATTCCAGGTAGCCCGGGTCATAAATTGAGCTCTGCTGGTTTTTTGGATATCCAGGTAGCCGATACCGACATCCTTATCAAGGCTACCAGAGACTACCTAGCATCACACACTATAAGGCTCAGGGATTAGGCAGATTAATAGGGAAATCTACATAAAAAACTACATGTTTGAAACTACATAAGAATGTGAAAACTACATAAGAATGTTTTACATGTTGTAAGCAGCTTGCGCTAACCATTTTCACCCAGATGTTAAAACTATATTGATTTTTTTCCAAATTTCAAACATTTCTTAATCTGAGAGACTGTAATTGTCCAAACAAAATTTGACAATATATATTTTACTCAAAATTG